TATTGTACATATTTCATTATTTCCTTATTCTCATATTTTTATTGTTACTGTTCCATTAAAGCTGTTTTAGTTTTCTTTTCCAAACCGTAAAGTCTTCTCCCTTGTTCTCCATCCTTCTCCCTTTTGGGAGGGGAGAGGGGTTAATAGAGAGCGTCTGTCATTCATTAGTGGCTGGCCCAGCCTCAGCCCGTGACACGCTTAGAGATGGTAGCTGCAGGCATTCCTTTGGAAATGGACATGTAGCAAATGGAAACCCAGCATAATCTGGAAACAACCAGTTAAACAGAGCATTACGAGGAAACCCACCGCGCTCACCCGGTGTCAGACCTCTCTTTGTAAAGTGCTGTAAAATATTGGCGAGTCCTAATAGCCAGAAAACGGGACTGCTTCCAGGGAAAACTTGCTGGCAGGGCGGTCCTTGCCCAGGGGATGGGGTTCAGAGCGTGGCTGTAAGAGTGAGGGGTAAGGCTGGGGAGGGCAGGGCTGTGGGGCAGACAGTGAGGCTCTGGGACTCTCCCGGTAGAAGCAAAGGGTTGAACTCGGCAGCTGCTGGCAATCCATGGCACCGTCCGGAGGGCGATGGAGAATGATGCTCCATCGGGAGGGACCGGGGTTGGTGCGCAGGCACCCACGCAAGTGGTCCACTTCCAGGTGGTTTAAGATTTACTCATCTACAGTTAGATTATTTATTAAAATAAATCCATAATTTATTAAAGAATTAGAACAAATATTTGTTCTTAATTACCCCAGAAGCTTAAATACTGATGAACAAATACGCAGTAGAAGACCCAGGACCCTTGAGCCAACGCCAAGACTGCAGTGCGAACCTGTCCGTTGCTTGTCTGAAAGTGGGGGCAAGGGGGTCCCCAGGCTACAAACAGGATCAGAACAGGGGAAAGGCTTCACCACGTTTCTGTACCTTCCATCAGGGTTGGTCCTTGCTCAGCCACCTGACTTTTACCGATGCCCCAGTCTCTGCCGCAGGGCGGGGTAGCTCTGAGTTTGCCCAAACGCTAAACCCAAACTTCCATGAAGCCGACATCCAGAAAGGAGCTGAAGGAAACGCAGCAGGGTTCGTTACTGAATCTTAAATTAATTGTGAGTTTCGGAAGGCTGGTTTCAGTGGAATGTAACATGAGACTGAAAGTCCAACCTGTCTGTCGGCGCGCTAACCATCCAGAAGACACACCCGCATCGCTGCTGGCAAATAATCCGCCCTTCCCCACTTGTTTTAGAACGGTAAAGGTTACACAAATGGTGGTGTTCATCGCTCCCATTTTTCAGGATTGAAAACAACTGATTTTGAGAAACAAGGCTTCAAAAAAGCAGATGGGTGGTTGTGAGCTCTTCATTGCAGGGGGAACGACCCCAAAATTGCATTTTTTTTGTGTACTTCATCTCTGGGGCGCAGTGACGCTTCTGTCGGCAGCTCATTGCAGCTCTAACTCAGGCTGGCAACCTGACCGTGAGCGAGGAAAGCTTCATGAGGATGCCAGGCTGTAAAATCAGAGGGAACTTCTGAAGTTACAGAGCTTGGTGCACCCCAAGGATGGCATCGCAGTGAATTTTCTACTGTGGAAAGAGTTGACTAGAAGCAGGAAAGCCGTGGAGAGCAGGATTTGAAACAGAGATTCTTCGGAAATGCTCCTTTGAAAGCATTCGAACAGTTAGAGAATGTCTATTTTAACCATTATTTTCTGATAAGGTCCGTAATGGACTTGCCAATAAGCCAATGAGCTGTAAAGGCGCTTTCACGGAGCTTTTTCCATACGTGGCCTTCCCAAAGTGTGATTAATTTTATTTTTCGCAAATGGAGCTTGCACATTTAGCTGTAACAAGCAAAATGCCAGGGAGATTCCTGAAGTAAGGTTGTCTTGGCCGCAGTGCACATGTTAGCAGGAATTTCTTCTCCTGTTATGCCTGTAACCTGATCTGTTGCTCTTTAGGTTCTTGAATACGTGCCACCATCTACTTGGGCTGCCCCATGCAGCTGAGTTCAAGGCTGCTGTGGGATCTCCGGCTTTCTCGGCAGAGCCTGCTGGATTTCAGGACCTCAGAGCAGCGCTTCGGGCCACGGGAGATGCGGGCGACCGCTGGCTGAGAGGCAGAGCTGTGTCAGACCGGCTCCCCCC